GGCGGATTCAGTCTCATTTTGCACATTTCGAGAGTAGTGAAGCGGAGGCCCTAAAGCGCTTCTTTGCCACCTCTCCTCCTGTCATCCCTGCCACCTGTCATCCCGCCACCCGTCATCCTGTCATCCTGTCATCCCGCCACCCGTCATCCTGTCATCCTGTCATCCCGCCACGTGTCATCCTGTCATCCCTGCCACCTGTTTCACTCCTCCACCTGTTTTGCTGTCGTACCTGCCACCTGTCATCCCGCCACGTGTCGTACCTGCCACGTGTAATCCTGTCATCCCGCCACGTGCCATCCTGTTGTCCCTGCCACGTGTCATCCTATCATCCCAATATCCCGCCACCTGTCATCCTGTCATTCGCGCCACCTGCCATCCCCGTCGCCTGGCAATCACTGTCCACCTGCCATCCTGTCATCCCTGCCGCTTGTCATCATGTATGTCAACCCTGGCGCTTCTCATCCTCCATCTCTGCCACCTGTCCTACCCAACCAGATTCTCTTCACTCCGTCAACCAAACTCACCGTAAATTTTCGACAGGAGATCACCCCTATTTCGAACATCACCATCATGATGCCGAGCGTCTTGAAGATCTCCGTTTCGAAGAGGTGACACATAATGTAAATGAACCACAAAGCGAGATTGACACATAATGAAGTGAACCATCACCTCTTGACGCCTTTTCTTGCGTTTCCGTGGCGAGATCGATGACACATAATGAAGTCAACCCACCATAAAGCATCCCTTCAATCTCTTCAATCGATACAATCAACACACGCTAAACCACTCCGTCCTTGTTCATCTATCTACCACCTCCCCCCCCCCCCTCATGCCCACCTTCTCTGAAAACTCACGCACTATTTATTTCTTATCACGCACTTCCATCCTCTCTCTCTCTCTCTCTCTCTCTCTCTCTCTCTCTCTCTCTCTCTCTCTCTCTCTCTCACACACACACACACACACACACACACCTGTCTCTTATACACATCTAGATGTGTATAAGAGACAGCACACACACACAGGACAAAGGGGTCTCTTCTCTCTCTCGTATCAAAAACATGGGGGAAAAAAAAAGAAAGAAAAGAGAGTCTGGAAAAGAGTCGTTGGGAGAGAAACTGACATCTAGGTAGACGCTTTTTTGTAGACGACCTCCGTGTGGCCAATTTTGAAGGCGACGAAGCGCGCCGCCGTGAACAGAAAATCACTCAAGCGATTGAGAAACCTGCCAACGACATCATCGACCAGGTTCTCTGCAACAAGCGGAGTGACTCGGCGCTCCGCACGTCTGCACAGCGAGCGCGCCACGTGGAGATGAGCGCTCACCAGCCCTCCGGAGGGGAGAATGAAGGCGCGCAGCTGAGGCAGTTCGAGATCCATTGCATCTATCCATCTTTCTAGTCTCTCCACAGCCCGGGGATCGAATCTAGTCCGATCTATCTTGCGAGTAGCAGATCGACCGATCGGGGTCGCGACCGCCGATCCGACATCAAGCAGCCTTGATTGGATCTCTTCAATCTGCATCCGAATGACGTCGCCCACTGTCCCACATCCCTCACAAAAGGCGTGTGCGACGCCCAGGGCACTATTGAGTTCATCGACGTCGCCCAGCGCCTCGAATGTGGGGTCATCCTTTCTCCGCCGCTCGCCGTTGTATAGCGACGATGTGCCCAGATCGCCCGTCTTAGTGTAGATCTTGAATCCAGAGTTGGAACCCCCTCCCCCTAGTGACGGCGTCGCGGAGGCGGCGCTGCTAACTCTCGAGTGCGACACTTCAACGACCGCAGCAGGCGCAACAGCCGCCGCCTTCCCCCCCCCGCCGCCGCCGCCGCCGCCGCCGCCGCCCCCGAGGCCGCCATCCATAGCCATCACGTTCTTTCCCACCAAGCTTGCTGTACCACCTCCCTTCGGCGGAGAATGACACCCCTCCCCTCCCCCCTCTATCACTAAGCCTCTGGCGGCGGCGATGGCTGCGTGATTAGATCCCTTCGGCGGAGAACAACCCCGCTGAACCAGATCGAACGCCTTACGACTGGCAAATTGGAGGCCTCTTCGTTGAAGAGGGGACGAATAGAGGCCCCTCCACAGCATCGAGACAGCTTCGGCTATGGCTATGGCTATGGCTATGGCTATGGCGGCAGCGGCGAATCCTGCCCCGCTCTAAGAAAGCCGCAGAAAGACGGAAAAGCCACCAATATGCCGCCCAGAGACACTACCTACCGTCTTCCCCCAAACATAACGCACCCTGATAATGAATGTATCAAAGCTATATTCCCGGTCAGGTACAGCCAAAATAAGTGTACGTTGTGTTCGGCGGAAGACGGTAGTCGCAACTGTGATTTGATTAGAACAAAAAAAAAAACAAAAAAGATAACATCAAGGAAAGAAAAAGAGCGCTTCGCCGCACTTGCTCACCAAATGTGCAGAAAAATCCAGTCCGCACCTTCCGCCAGATCGCGGAAAGATACATTCGCCATAGCCGTTGCCCTTTCACAATTGGTGAGCGATGCAGCGAGACCCAGAGAACAAAAACATAACAACGTAGAAAGGAATGAGAACCAGAGGAAAAACATTAAAAAAAAAAAAAAAAGTCAGATGAAGCTGGGGGCTGCACTCATCGCCAATTTTGTAAGACGGCGGGCGAATCATAACTGAGATGGCGGAAAGATACACACAACACTTCTCTCTCTTATTAACGTTTGGAGAGAGGTGGATGGAGCGAGCCCCATGGGCGTTTCACGTGTTGTGTGTGTCTACGCGGCAACCGGTTTCGCTTGTCAGACAGATGAACGAAACGAATCAGAAAACACACAGAGAGCTGCGCCACGGCGAAAGCACGGGCCTGCTACCTAGTTGTTGTGCACTACTTATCATCCGCCCACATTTTGAACGCATCTGGACTGAAATTTATCCAGATGCATTCAAAATCTCGGCGGATGGCGAGCAGTCCATCTCCCGGTAGGCCCTGAGGGCGTCGCTCCACCAGTCACCCAGCTCGATTTCCCGTGGTGAAGACACCACGCGGCCTTTTCTGACCGAACGTGTCCACTGCTGCACCGCTCGAACACACTTCGAGCAGCCACCACCACCACACAAGTGGTGAGCGCTACTACCGTAGAGACAGAGACGGCCGAGGCCTTCGCTCCACAACTCACCACACTGGAGCAGTCGCCACACTTGGACAGTCTCCACACAAGTGCTACAAGAAAACGTCAGGCCCTGTTCGATAATCCAGCCGTACACGAAATAGATGGCTCACCCTTTTCAACAACCAGTCAGGGGGCGTAGGGCCTGGCTGCACTACTCTAGACTCGAAATATTTCGAGAGTTCTACTAGCATTGTCAGAGAGGCGAGACTCTTGAAATACCCGCCTTCGCTACACTTACTCTAGAACCTCTGACACTAGATCAACTCTCGAAACCCTGGGCGTCGTCCAACTTGACAGCCCCCCTGCCGTCCTATGTAGCCAGAAGAGACGACTACTTGATGCTGGCTCTTGACTTCCCTCCATCCCAACCGTTCACAATAGATGACATTATTCTTTACAGGGTGGGGGGTAAAGAGTACAGAATACATACAGCCCACAAGCACAGACCCTGGTGCTTTCGCTGCAAGGCGTACGGACATCTATGTTCAGACATGGACTGCCCCAACAACCAAGGCAAACAAAACAGAGTCACAGGCCGGCTCCTACGCGATCCATTCCGAGGTAATCTGTTGAGGACGGTGGACCCGGGTTATGAAGGTGTGGTTTATGAGGAAAGTAAAGGAAAGGAAGGAAAACCAAGGGGGTGGAAATGGGAAAAGGTCGGGGAGACAAACTGGGCAACCAGGCCCCCGGATACATGGACACCGCCAGAAGTGGACGGGCCCAAAACAGGCCAACGGACAGTTGCAAGGCAAGAAGAGCAACACCAGCAGCTCCAACAACAACAACAACAACAATGCCAACCACGTTGGGTAGAGCACGTAGGTGCAGCGCAACACAGACAGAAGCCGCAGCAGCTGCAGCACCAACAGCACCAGCTCAGTCTAGGCAGAGGGGATCACATAGAGACAGAACAACAGGGGCTCCAGTTGCACCTACAAGGAGAAGCCACAAGGAAAGTAAACGGAACGACAGGCGGGCAGGTGCAAATCCACCAAGAATGGAGAGCCAAAACTACCCAGGAGCTGCAGGTCCGTACGGACCCCCCCCCCCTCCCCGGCCCATCACAGCATAATTACTTGCAGGAAGGTGGAAGGAGGCGAACAGAAAAAGAGGTGGAAGGGGGGAGAGAGGAAGAGAGGATACAGGTTGAAAGGGGGGAGAAGGGGGGCAAAGGAAATGGGCTTCTAACTTAAGCACCCGGCAACGAGAACCTACATCAAGCACCCGGCAAGGAGACACATCAACTACCTCAGACGGTGGGTGTGGGCGAGGAGACCGGCTGAGGTGAGCAGGAGACTGGTCCCGACCCCTTTAAGGATGATTTTGGCCCGACCCCCATGGACGTCGAGCCAACACCCCCTCCTTCCACGCCCCCCCCGCCCGACATAATAATGGAGGATGTGCAGGAGTCCGCCGCAAAGGAAGCCCAACATGAGCAAATCCCAGTGGAGCAAAAGTTGATTCAATTGGCGGACTGGCTCCTCAACAGCTTGAAAGACGGATATGGTCCGGCTACGAACGAGTTCTGGGACGCCACGTACTTGAACATTTTTCCCATTTTAGATGGCAGTCCCAGCCTCAAGAAGGCGATGACGGAAGGCCTCCCCCCGGGGCTATCATGGCCCGAGGTAGGTGCCCGTGTGCTGCACACCGTGGCGGATTTACTGCCGCCCCCGCCCCTGACCAAAGAGACGGGTGAGATGACAAGGAACCAGGGGGATAAGGGGAAGAACGATAGCCAGCTAAAACAGGCTGCATGCCCACAACAAGGGGATGATATCCAAGGGCCTATAGGCACAAGTACCAACGTTATTAAGGAACAAAACAGTCGGCAAATATCAAGGAAAACCCCGACCGAGAGTCATGCGCCCGTAACAGGCCCCCTCCCGGAAAATGAGCCAGCAAAGAGGAGTCGTATGATACAATGGTTAGAGAAGGGAGGGGGGACAGGGAAAATGAACACAACATGAGTTCCTCTAATCCCGGTAAGGAAGAAGAAAGGTCAATGGGAGGTGGGCCTCTGTCCATCGGAAAAGGGGAAACAGGGAGGTGGAACACTGAAAGGGTGGTCATCCTTTCAAGATTATGACATTGTGGGGGAGCAGGTGTTCCAATTGGACCTGGACAGATTCGTGGAGTCACAGTACGAGTCTGGGCCGGAGGCTAAGTGGGTGGCAAAAGAAGGATCAACACATATGGTGCAAAGAGTAGCCTTCGTCCGGTTTAGCGAACGCAAGGACGCCGGCCTGATCTGGCTCTCCCACAAAGAGCTCTCGAAAGTACACCAGACGAGAATTAGGGTCAGCACCTGCTGGAGTGCCCCGGTGCTCCACTGCTTATGCTCACTCCTTAGGCACAACACCTTACAGGACCCCTCTACCCTCGACAAGGAAAATTGAGAGAAATTTGACTAGTCATGAATAGATCCGAGGGGAGAGAACAGGATCAGCGGATACGAGACTGGCAATCAACCCAAGGGAAGGACGAGCTATAAGTCCTCTACGAAAAAGACAAGGCCTGGATCAGAGCGACTCAGTGACAGATTTGGACTTGCGCTCTCTTAACGTGAATGGGCTGACTTCGACAAACCCCCAGAAACGCAAGACAATAATGGAACAAATAAAGGGGGTGGGGGGGAGACATTGGCCTGACCTCATCTGCATTCAAGAAACCCACCTCACGAATTCCCCGGAACACGTTAGAGTCCACAACCTAACCTGGCCTTACCAGAAAATTACGGCTCATGCACCGAAGCCGGGGTTGGCAGGGGTGGCAATTTGAATCCCCCCTGATTCTCGGGCGGGCGTCATCTATTACGCAATAGATGCGAGAGAAGGGAGATGGGTAACTGTTCTCCTCATGTTGGAAGTAGAAGTGGTTTGTGTGACCAGCATCTACGGCCCAAATGAAGTAGAACAACGCAAAATCTTCTTTGAACACATACGGTTTCAGTTGCCGCAAGGCATACCGGCAATCATTGCAGGAGATTTCAATGAGGCTTTGGATTGCAGCCTGGACAGGTGGAGGGTCCCCTCCCCATGTCCGACCTATATAGGGGAAGATGAAGGAATCATTCGTAAACTCTGCGAAGAAGAGCACCTTTATGATTCCTTCAGGCGGCTACACCCACGAAGGAGAATTTTCACCTGCATACGCAACAGCGGCACGCAAACACAGTCCAGATCAAGAATAGACCTTATCCTCATGGCGGAGGACCTAGACAGGGCGCTATAGGCGGCAACCATCTTCCCTCTGAGCCCATGGCCGGAAGCGGACCACAAGATGTGCGCGGTACTACTCAGATTTCGCAAGAAACCAGATTAGGGTTCAAGTTTTTACAAACTTAATACATCTCTCCTTAAAATGCACCCTTTCCACACATTTTTCCGTGATGTATGAGAATAATGGCGATCCACAAAGAACCAACACGTTTCATACATTACATGGTTTAACAACGGGTTGGGCTTCATGGTCAGGAAATGCAACGAATTTTCGAAAATACGAGCCAGAGAAAAATTCTCTCAAGAAATTGGTATTCAGGAGGGAATTCGTAAACTTAAACAGGAAAGCATTACGTCGCTGCACTCTCAATCTCACACGGAACCAGCAAAGATACAAAGGCTTAAAAACCAGCTCTTGGAGTTCGCCTAGCACATATGGCAGGGCTCCATCATCAGAGGCAAGCTAACGCGGCACACCACATAAGGTCAAATGAACGCATCATTTTTCTCATTCGCCCAAACAAGATTCAGAAGATCCACCATAGAAGGGTTATATGATCCACTCAAAACACAGGAGGTCACCTCATACTCCTCGCCCATGGCTTGAAAGTGGCAAGGGACTTCTACAAAGAGCTCTTCTCTTCAACTTTTGCCGGAAATTCAGAGTCAATCACAGAACACAATATTGAGGACTTCCTAACACCCCTCTCCCAAAGAATTTCGGATGAACAAAGGGAGTCCCTGTAAAAACCACTACAGAAAGAGGAAATCTGGAACGCCCTCCCGCAGATCGAGGAAGACAAATCCCCAGGGATGGATGGGCTCCCCAAAGAATTTTGGGAGAAAATGTGGTTTCCCATGTCGAAGGAATTGATGAAATTTTACGGACAGGTAAAGGCCTCTAGAGACGTAGGGGACCTAGCAGGTCAAGGAATTGTCACTATACTGTACAAAAAAGGGGATAAAATGAACATAAAGAACTATCGTCTGATCACCCTCCTCGTGGTGTACAAGTTGTTGTCTAAGGCAATGGCCAATAGGATGATACCGGTCCTGGAGGAAATAATTCACCCCGCACAGGGTTTATGCGTAACAGGAATATCCAAGACAACGTATTACTGGTCAATGAATTGATCAAGTTATCGAGGCAGTCGCACCAAAACGTGGCCATAGTGTTCATCGATTTCGAAAAAGCCTACGACCACGTAGATTGGAAATTCCTGGACAAATGCTTGCATAAAATGAACTTCGGCACGGAATTCAGGGACTGGATTATGATGCTCCACCAAAATGCGGCTACACGGTGTAGGTTCAAACCCCGTTAGACTTTCGAGCCTTGGTGGACCCACTGCAGGTCCCATTTGGCTCTGCTCCGCCCGATCTCATGCTCAGGGCGCGGAGCGTTCGTCACGGGGGCACCCCCACCTAGTGTTTGCGATGGATGGGGGTGGATCATCGAGCGAGAGAGTTTTGACATTGGGGATGTAGCTCAGCCCTCATACCGGGTGGTAGTCTCGCTGGTCACACCGCAAGCGCTGATTTCCTTTTGATTCTTGGTTGTGTTCTTAAGCAGATGCTCCTTCCAATACGCAAACAGTCCAGGGGTTCTTTGAGAGTTCATCTTCTTTTATGCATAGGTCAAGCGTCATCCTTGGGCCACGCATGTATTCTCTATCCCGGGTCATCAAGACCTATTGGAAGGCGGCCCTTAGTCTTTTCAGGGCCCCTCCCGCATACATGCTTATTATATATATATTTTTTATCTAGTCTAGGTCTGTGTCGTCGCCCTTACGTCATACGGGGGGTCCCCGTACGGGCCGTACGGACGGACGTACATACGCCCGTACGGCCGTACGGACGCTCCCCGTACGAGCGTGCTACGGCCCTGTGGGGGGGTGCTGGGGGGGGGTTAAGGGGTTGGGGTGTTGGAACAGGTCAGTGGGTGCGGTGCTGTGCTGTTGAAAAAATTTTAAAAAAAAAAAATTTGGGTGAAAAAATGAGAAAAAAAAAATGACTGGCCGTGTCCCCGCGGGCCTCAGCCTGGCACCCACTGCCGCGGTCCAGGGCAGTTTCGGAGGGCCTCCGAAACTGCCCTGGGCCGCAGCAGTGGGTGCCAGGCTGAGGCCTGCGGGGACACGGCCAATCATTTTTTTTTTTCTCATTTTTTCATCCCAAAAAAGAGGGAGGCACTGAGGCAGAGGCCGACGTCTGCTTTAAAGTGAGGTTGTGGGCGTCAACATCCACAGTTTTGTGCTGTTGCCCACATTCCTCTTGAGGCTGTTGTCGCCCATGCAACAGTGCTCGTGGACTTTGTTGACGACATGACACACACACACACACACACAGAGAGAGAGAGAGAGAGAGAGAGAGAGAGAGAGAGAGAGAGAGAGAGAGAGAGAGAGAGAGAGAGAGAGAGAG